AGGTAAGTCTGTTTATCACCTTTCATGTGTCATTTAATTGCCAAAATAATCTTTACCTCTCACCTTTAGGGACTCAGATTTGAAATGACTGATCAGTTCAGCATGTTGGCCTTCTGCCCTGCTCCTTGTGAGAGCACATGTTTGTTGTCGTCAGAGTTTGCCATGTCTTCTCTAACATGAGACTTTGCAAGATATGTGATTTCCATTGTTTTCCAAGGACATGCTGTGTCACTAACACATCTCTGCACAAACTCATAGAGACCCAGCTGGGCACATTTGCTCAGTCATTGGGATTCTTTTGTTGTTTTTTTTTAAATACAGTGCAATTGCAAGAGACCTACAATAACCATTTAGTCCAACTGCCTGACCACTTCAGGACTGACCAAAAGCTAAAGCATGTTATTAGCGGCATTGTCCAAAGCCTCTTAAACACTGACAGGCTCAGCACATCAACCACCTCTCTAGGAAGTCTGTTCCAGTGTTCGACCACCCTGTGGTCAAGGCAGTATGTGTTGAGGCTAAAGGAGAGTATAAGAAATTTGCCTCTGCGATTTCTCCAACACTTACAGACATTTGCTGTGATCCCGAGTACTGCTCCACCAGTTCATGGTGTAACCCCAACTCTGGTACCTGGCATTTTGTGGGGAGAGCCCTCTTTACTCTTTGGCATGGTTTTGTGCTACATTGTTACTCACATGCCCCAAGTATGGGAGATTTCTTTTATTTCATTTTCCCAGTGAAATTTAGCCCCAATTGTACTTTCAGAATATTTCTTTCTGCTTGAATGAGCCCTTATATTGAATGTATTCATTATCATATTGTAACTCATAATGAAACTAAAATCTCGTATGGCCTACCCACAAGGCATATCAATCCTGGGAAGGACCACTACTAATAAAGCAAGCAGTATATATGATTCTAAGACCTTCAGATCTCTGTCAGAACCACATTAAAAGATGATAGCTTTCATAATAGTTGCTAATTGGACCAAGACAACAAAATTTCTTTTTACATGACCTTAAATGTTAAGAAGATGACAGTAACAAACCACAGAGCTATCTACTCATTCTAGATGAAACATTTTCATTTAAAACAATTTTATTCAACAGATTTTGGTTTTTTATTCTAATCCAGAGTCGTCTGCGAACAGAGTATGTTCTTTATCGAATGTGTGTGTTTGTTCAAAATTTACCGACTGTCTAGGTATTGATCAGATTCCCAAAGCAAAATGTTTTTACATTTCATTCCATCTCAAAGTCCTTCCTGCCCTAGCCCTTCTGAGGACTGGAAATGGGTAATCCTTTGTGCTTAATTTCTTACTGAATATTAATATAGACTTATCCTTTTTTTATACATGAAAGTTAACACACTTCTAGCCATAATTCTGATGGTATAGTTCTTCTTCATTTCAGTTTGTCAAGTGGGATTTGCTCTGCTCTCAAGAACACTGTTAGCCCCACACTGACTTCACAGTGAAGGCACTAGACTAAATTCATGGTACCTAGCTGAAGATAATAGATAGATGTGAGGCACATTATGGTGAAAGGAAAGACTTGCAGTGATTTTCATGAAGTTTGGGTCTGTCCTCTCTTCCTTACCCCTGTACTTAGGTATTACTTTCAGCAGTGTTGAAAGTATTTTTCAGCTGTGTGCAGCCAGGATGTAGTGTTTGGGTCTGTGTATTTCTTTGTGTTTGTTATTTGGTTTTGTTTGTTTGTTTTTGTTTGGTTGGTTGGGGTTTTTGTTTACTTGTTTGGGTTTTTTTGTTTTAGTAGTATGTGTGTGTATATACCCTCCTCCTTTTTTAGTTGTGACATTTACTGACAGAAACAAAGACTAAAACCAAAATTGTGATCAGAAAAGACCCAGACTATTAAGGAACTGTTAAAATGAAATTATTAAAGAAGATTTGCATTACATGCAATAAAAAACCAAGTAAGTATGAAATTTAGGACACCTGAATTCTTCAAAGTCACTCAAAAAAGTAATGGCCTAATTTAAGTGACTTCAATTAATCCAGTATTCACATGGCTTAGAATTTTTCTTTGCTTAGTGAAAGCTAAGGTTCCTTAAAAAAAAAAGTTAACAACATACTCATCTACTTTTACTGTTAATAAACCCTAGTGTTCAAATTAGTCTTTGTAGATCAATGGTATTTTTTCCAAAGGATGAGAGAGGAAAGAAAAATTAAAGTTTCACAATCCAGGATTCTTCTTTGCCCATTGCTACATTTCAAAGACCTACTGAGAAAAAAGACTTTACCGAGAAGCCCTGTGACAAACATAATATAGTTCTTGCATATATTGAAAATCTGTCCTTTGAAAACTTAATTGGACATCGATTGTCTCTGTTTTGTCTCTGGCTTAACATAATTACATTGTTTCATTTGTTTTAAAAAAACACACATTTCTTGCTGATTGCCGTAAGTGAATTTTTACAAGCTCAAATGCATAAGTATATTGATAACTTATAATACTAAAAATGAGATAAAATGTATTTTGACTGCAGGAAGTTAAGTTTAGGTAAAGCATGACTTGTCACACTGGATTTACTGGAAAATATATTATTTACACATGGATTTGCTTATATTAATGATCTGTAGATGATTCATTACCATATGATGCTTCACATGTTATTTTCTGCTACAGAATAATTATTTCCATGGGTGCTGTTAAGGCAGTCCCCTCTGCCCCTCTTCAATGTGGAACTATATGCTTGGAGCCTTAATGTAAGCTAGATGTTGACTCCTAATTAGCCAAAAGGAAATCCTCCAACCATCAAATATTTTTTCTCTTTGGAGGTGTGCATATTATATTGAAATACTAGAACTAAAATGCATGCTTTGCTGAGTTAATACATAATTGAGCAAAGTGGCCTCTTTTTAAACACCAGCAAGTTCTGTTACATTTAATTTTCTACCTCCAACAGCCTCAGGAAATGCATATGAATGCTATCATTATCTTCTGCAAGCATCATTGATGTTTATGTTCCTTTTTTTTTAAACTCGAGAACTTAAGGAGAGATCTGAGATAAACTCTCAGGTGGAAAACAATGGATAGTGAATGCTGTGTGGTATCAGTGATTTTGTGATCTCTTCTGTGATGTGCTGCCTAGAAGCTTCACAAGAGAGGTTTTGCATGCCAAGCTCAGGGCTTTCCAGTAGATAGAAAACACTTAGAAATAGTGTATACACACCACACATTAACATATTCAGGCAACAGATGTGTAGACCATGCTTTACATACTATATGCAGTGCGTAAGTGAGGACATGGGTAGTGATATACTCCTTGCTCTCCTGGGCAAATATTCCATCAGCTTACATATAAGTTTTCTACTCTTTCTATGTTTCTGAACACCAGGCTGAATGGATTTGGTTTCACGTGTTTTGGATAGGAGCTATGAACCTCCTCCTGAAAAGAAAGTAGCAGATATGTTGTCTCGAGGAAATATTTCTCCAGCTGCTCTTTGCTTGGTGGTGCTGGTCATGAATGTATGGCAGTGAAAGGAGCATACGAACTCAGTCAGATTATGCTGTTTTCAGAAGACTTTTTAAATTCAACTTCATAACTGTTGGCTACGTTCAGCTCATTTGGAAAAGAATTACTGAAGCAAGATATTTTTGCCCAGTTGCAATGAACGTCCTGTGCAAGGAAGGCTGAGAAAGAAAACCCTAGACATACTTGTCTGTGGGATCGCTGCTGTCTTAATGAATATCCAACTGATATTTGTGAGTTGTAGAGTAAATATGCTGAGGAGACCTACCAAATTGGGTTTTTTTCCAAAAATAAATATAAGGATGGTCTTCATGATTTGATCTGAAAGCTGTATCGTATCTACACTAGAGGAAGTTCACTACTTTTTAACTTGAAAGTTTCAGTGAACTTGTAGATTTTCCTCTTTTCATCATATTAAAATGACAACTCACTTCTCCAACCTGGATTTGAGAAGTGTCAGTTAACACCTAGTCTCTTACACATCCTACTTCCCTAGCGTAGACAAGGTGTTGCTTAGACAAAGTAACTGGATTGCAAATGCCACTTAAACACCGAGTAACGTGGGAGGTCTACAGATAAAAGCATATTGCAGTTCAGAGCACATTGTGATAAAATGACTCAGGAGGAAGAAAACAAAATGAGGAGGTTTCTTACCTCCAACTCCTTTGCAGCACAGGTCGGCTGTGCCTTGGGGTCAGCACTGAGAGCCTCCAGCAGCTCGTGGCAGGAAGCGGGGGAACCCCAGCGGGGTCTGATGTGAAACACAACCACAAATGGCATCCTGTGGCAGTGGCCACGCTTCAGCTGGTCAGAGTCAAGCCCTGTGTTTGGGGAAAACCTTCACTGCCACGTTGTTTCTGATCAACAGACAGAAACTTCAATGTCTGCTCCCGCTGCAGTTACACAAAAAAGCCTTTTAGTTTTAACAAACTTTGTTTGACTTTCTGTAGCCATCCCAGACTGGCATGTCTGCTACTGCTTTTAGCTAAAATTGCTTTTGCTGATAACTTGAGAAGTGATGTTGATTTAGGTTGTTTGCTTATTAACACTGAAAGGGGTGATGCTATCTTGGCCCTCAAAAACACTGCCTTTCAAAAAAAAAGTCTTTTAATGTGATAAAATTCCCCAAATTTACAAGTAAATTGCTTTTAAAATTGTTCTAGCTGAAATGTGTAATTTTGATATTGGGCTGTTTAACTCTTTGTAGCACAAATAATATAATGGAATGGCAAGGTAAAATTCCAAAAGGAACAAATTAAAGCTGACAATTTGATTAAACTGGTGCTTACTCATGAGGCATTTCACTTTTAATGAAATAAAGATTTTTGGAGAAAAAATGTGGCTGTTTTCTATTATTTAATTAAAATCCTTGAGTGGCGCCTTGTTTATTCTTCCAAAACTTTGTGAGAGGAATAAGAAAATTCCTTTTTATAGTTCATTACTTCTTCATCTTTTTATTCTATTTCATCTTTGTTTGTAATGACACTTTTTTCTTGCTGTTGTAGGAAATGAAAGCCTAGAAGAAAATTATGTGCAGGACAGTAAAATGGGATTTGTCATCAATGCTATATATGCTATGGCTCATGGGTTGCAAAACATGCACCATTCCCTTTGCCCTGGACATGTTGGGTTGTGCGATGCTATGAAGCCAATTGATGGCAGCAAGCTCTTGGAGTTCCTCCTCAAATCCTCTTTCATTGGTGTTTCTGGAGAAGAAGTTTGGTTTGATGAAAAGGGAGATGCTCCTGGAAGGTAAAGAGATATTTCATCTTAACTATTTAAAGTAGATGTTGGGAAGGGGGAATGTTTCTGAGTTTGGTGATGGAGATTTCTTTGGCTGTTTTGACAAAGAATACAGCATGCATAGCATGAGACGTAAGTGGAATTATCTGGATTAGGCTTACCAATAGCCAGAAATAACGTTGGTAACATATGATGTATTGATAGCTCCATCTTGTATTGGAACAGGAACTACATACAGCACAGCCTGTAAATTTTCTAGAGTTTCAGGAGAGGATAAACCTTGTACCTCACAGACTTTTGGTGTCTAAAGTACCTCTGGGGCTCAGCACCAGTGTTTTAATATGCGTTAAGCCTAATAAAAGTGATTTGAATATAATGAAGCACTCGTTTGCTAAGGTTTTAAAGGTAGGGCTTTAGAGCACATAGTTCTCCAACTAGAGCTCTACTGCATCCTTGCCAGAGTCTATTTAGTTCTGCTTGGTAAACTCCTGTGTGCTCTCCTTAACTTGTTTCACTCCAGATAAGATCGACTGTCCCAGAGTTTAAAGATAGGTCTGAGTGGAGCAGGACAAAGATTTTTTAGAACTATTTTTGCAAGAAGGTACTGTGTTTCACTCATCTGGGGTCTGGTAAATTCCAGCCATAGTAGCTACTACCGTATCCCTCTCCTTGGCAGACATAGACCTGAGCAAGCAGTGAGGCAGCAACTTTGTGGACTTACACATCACGTTTGTTTTTCTTATGGGGGCCAACTGCCAAAAATCTTTTCATTTAGTTCTGCAGGATCTGTCCAACTATTTTAAGTGTGACACTCCTAGGTGGATTTGGTTTTGAGTTTTGATTTTTTTTTTTTTAAATAAGTTTAATTAAGCTGCTGAAGTACACAGTCCATTATTAACTGAAACTTACTCAGGGGTTACTTCAGTGAAGTTAGTTTTCCTACTGAGATATTAAGGGATTATAAAAGACTCTCTCACTCCATCTTTGGGCTTATTGCATAAATGCATCTGAGTGCCAGTACCACACAAAGAGAGCGCTCTGGAACAAACAAGAGTTTGCAGTCTGGCATATGCCTTCAAAGAGTGCTCATAAGAAACAGTGGCTTTAAAGCAATTCTTATCTCTATTACTAACCTTTATTAGCAAAACTGACCAACTTTTTTACTGTTTGCTGTTTGCACTGCTTGCTGTATTTAAGGAGTATATATACTTAAAGAGCTAGTTACATTTAAACAATAATATAAAGCTGGTCAGATTGGTCTTCTTGTTGAGCGTTGTATGCTTCAGATTTTTAGTCAAATATATAGACAAGCTAGATGAGACTTTGAAAGTAGAGGCAAGCAATTCCGTTACAGTCAAACACATACTTGTTGGCCAAAATACATAAATCAAGTCTTTGCACATATACTTTAGATAATACAGAGAAATCACTGCTTAGTGTAGCTTTAAGTTTATTACATGGTATTTACCTTCATAGAAGCCTTACTTCACTTTGCATATGCTGCATTGTCTGACTGTTAGTTATTTAGTATGACATTTAGGTTCAATTTCCCAAATTTAGCCCAAATCTTATTTATTACCTTTTCACCTGAGAGCACTTCCACAACTCTCATCAGTGCCAAGCATAGAATTAGAATGAACAGTTCCTGAATTCAAAATGCAGAAAAGTTTATATCAGGATATTTCTTTGAGTAGGTCAGAATGATAGAATGTATCCGTCATCCTGGTCTATAGCAAGGTTAATTTCTCTTGCTTCCCTGGCCTATTTAGAATTTGATGGGTTATTTTAAGTTGGATTTGGGGTTTTTTTTTCCTCAGTTATATTTTTACAGCTGGAGTTAACAAGTTTGGGCAAGAAAGTTCAATTAACCTTTTTGTTGTTCATGCTGTAATCCTCGGAGCAGTCTGTGATGCTTACAACATGGGTAATATCGTATCAGAAAATGGTGGCGCATGTACAAAATGTGATCTGTACAGTCTGTCAGAACTTTGTATGCCAGCAGTAGAAGTTTATGCCCATGCAGAATTGTATTTAGCTCCAGATTAGGCTGTGTTTCCACAGCTCCACATGGAAAAAGTCTGTGAGTGAATGTACCATATCACTGCATCAATACCTAAAAGAGCTTCTGTGCCTCAGCAAAATGAAAAGATAAACACCACACACAACACATAACACATACAGGAAAGAGAGCCAGATCTGAACAGGTTTTAGCTTTTCTATGCCAGTGTAAGAATGTTACACAAATATGTAAAGTTTTTTGATATTATATTGCCATATCATGTGAACAAATTGACTTCACAAGATGGAATAAATCAATATGCCTTATTAGAAAGAAACAGCTTTCCTCATACTTTATTTTCAAAATCTGTGAGGTTCTTTGAGCAGTTGACTCTCCCAAGCTCCTAGTTACAATCATCATGGGAAAGGATGATAGACATGCCTGTAGTTATATTTGCCTTACACTCACATAATTTCTTTTTTCAACTCCTTACAGCTTTGTCAAAGCTTAACCATTTGTTTAGATATAATTTTTCTATCTCAGGCTCAATTCATAGTTTCAAGCTTTTATCAAAATGAGATTAGAAAACATGAAGCACTTTTTCAGAGATTTATTTCTTCCGCGCTCTTTTCTTTGAAGAGATTTTATGCAGAAATGGAAGCAGACCTTTATCAGACAGGCACAAATGCAGTCACTTAACTGACTGCACTGCCTCTGGTAAAAATTATGTGAATGTACTTCTGGAAAATCAACAGTATGTGGTCATTATTCTATCATTAAGAAAAGCTAGTAAAATTGCTGAACTTTTTATTTTCATTGAGTACATCCCATTCCCTTTCTTGGTAGTAATCTTATCACTTAAATCCCCAGAAATGACTGGAAAAGGTCTGAAGAATGCAGTAGTCAACACCATATCCTTCTCTGGGCCTACAAGGGGCAGAGGACAGATCCATTTTGAGGTCTTGTCTATTCTAGAGTAACTGCCTACTTTTAGTTTATGGCAGGTATGAAGAAAATTACTTCCCAGGGCACACCAATTGCATAGGCCTCTGACCATAAAAGGGTCAAGGGATATAAGGACTTTCATCTCCTACAGTGGACCTCTAACAAGTGGAAAAGGGTTGAGGTTCACAAGCTAACAGAACCATTGTTTTTTGTTTTACCTTAACCAGACTTGGATGTGGATCCACATTATTTTATCTAGTTCAGAATTTCCAGTAGCAGTTCTGGCTTCAGATATGACAACTCTATCAATAAACTCCAATGCTTTGAGTAAATTATCAAATGCAAAGACTTCAAATATAAAGGAGTGGGGGTTTTTTTGTCAAATATATGTGGTTGTTTCAGAGTTTGGCATCATGAGTGGTTGTTTTGGCCAGTTATATTCTAGCATTGCTCAGCATTTCTGTTTTCCATTCTGCCTTCCAGCATGGCAAACCTCATTACCAGTCTGGTATTGTGGCTACAGAAAAAAATCTATCAGCTCTCCCAAATTAACCAGAGTAAGAGCCTGCCTGTGACCAGCTGACTAATGGTCTGGCTCACCTCACAAATAACTTGTTCATATGACACCACCTATATTGTCACATCATTTCCCAGTTCATTTTCTTATCTGCATGAATATTTACATGGCTTCTGTAAATACTGTCATATGTGTGTGAAATCCAGCTGCCTCCATGGTCCTCACTCTCTCAGAGCTTCATAACTTTTGTCCAACCAGCTTCTTTTGGGATAACAATTTTTAGCTTGCGCACAGCTCTAAATTGTGAAAGTTGGATATAGGTGAGTGAGAGAATAAGAGGAGATGTTCTGGAACTCAACTTGTCCTTACTCAAAGCAGAGATTTTTCATTAAGGAAAAGAGGGAAAAGATAAAGAACTTGAGCACATTTCCATAGACCAAGTGTATTTGTTAGACCACATTTTTCCACTTAAAATTCAAGCTGCGTATCAAAGCTGCAAACATTGTACTACAACTTGTCATATGCAAGACTGTGTGAGAGCTTTTAGTCTACATACTTTATTCTTTGACAGATAACTGATAGAGAAGGGAACAGTATTATAAGAAAACATAAGAAAGGCTTTCAACCTAAAATCATATCCCTGAAATTGCCAACTTTTGATTGATATTGCATTAATGCCACACTGTGCCTTGTAATATATTTTTGCAAAATGAAAACAATCTGTGCAGGCTCAAAAATTCCATTAAGGGAAATGTGAGGTTTTAGTAATCTTTTATTCCCTTTCCTGAATTAATTTTCCACCCCAGAGTAACTGATTTTGTATGAGTCTAACACAAGGTCATACTAAAACCCAAGTAGTTTCTTCTTGCTAGGAAGAAGCATGTACATTCCTATACTTCTGTCTATTAAGTCTACATTATGAAGCACCTGTTTCTTATTGCTTCTTCCTGTCCTGATTCTTCACAGTCTTGACAGCGGCATTTTCATTTTTTATATCCTTCCTTTGCAAGAACTGAGATATGAGAAGGAATATTTTCCTAGTGAATTTGAAATTGACCCGTTTTCTAAGCAACTCCCCAATTAGGAGCCAATTGTTAACCAACAGAACTGCCTCCTGCTTGGAGCTCCATCAAACTCCACGGCAAAAGTCTTTTCCCATGTAATTCAGTGGAACTTTACAGTGACACTGACGTTGTGTGGACATGCAGATCTGCAAGAGTGAGGTCTAAATACAGCTGTAAATATGTGATTCTTTTAATGATTTTTAACTAGACAGATCCCAAAGACTCTAATTACTAATGACAGGAAAAGGGGAAATGGCCTCAAGTTGCATCAGGGTAAGTTTAGATTGGATATTCGGAGGAAGTTCTTTACTGAACGACTGGTGAGGCACTGGAACAGGCTGCCCAGGGAGGTGGTGGAGTCACCAACCCCAGAGGTGTTTAAAAAAAAAGTAGATCTAGCACTTGAGGCTGTGGTGTAGTGGTTAGGTATGCTGGGATGAAGGTTGGACTAGATGATCTTCTGAGGTCCCTTCCAACCCCTAACATTCTGTGATTCTGCCATTCTGTGACTCAATTAAGAAAAACAGACATCTAGAGATTAATGCTAGCACCTCTTTGGGTGTTTGAACTCAGGAGGGAAAAGAAAGAAATGAATATGTCTCTTTGCCAACACCCAAGTATCCCAGTTTTATTTATGTCTCATACGTAGCTCAATTTTCATTCCTAAAGCACACAGAGTTTAGCAACACTCATTACACACAAAGGATTTTTTTTGCCCAGAAACTGAGACAATCCATTAGATATAAACAAAGCAGTAACGCCCAGTCTTGGAAAACAGAAGATGTTTTGTGAATTTCAGCTGATTTCTGGTTCACAGTCCTCTTTCTCTCAGTCTCGGCCTTTTTTAAACAAAGATTTCTCCTTTCTCATCTTAAAAAGTCAGGCTGTAGGTCCAGTCTCTTTAGAGATGTGGTAGAAGCCCCATCCCTGGAAACATTCAAGGTCAGGTTGAATGGGGCTCTGAGCAACCTGATCAAGTTAAAGATGTCATTGCTTCATGCAGGGAGTTTGGACTAGATAGCCTTTAAAGGTCCCTTCCAATCCAACACGTTCTATGATTCCTCTCTGTGCCCTCTCTAACATTCATTCTCCCATTCTTGCTTATTTCCTACTAAAAAATCATCACTCTTTATCATTGTTTTGCACTAGTCACATTCTCTGGGTTAAAGGAGGAGCAGAATAAGTAGCAGAAAGGGATGTGCACACACCAGGCTCAACACATGGAAGACAATGATGGAGGCAGGGAAGCTGAATGTTTATTTTTGCAGTGGTTTACGCCTTCTTTACATTAGCCTTGGGAAATTCTCTCCTACTTGCTGAGGGAGAGGAAGTAAATTTTATGCCTGAGCTGTTAACTTTTTCTGCAAATCTCCCTGGGCTGGATATTATGAATAACTGACCTAGTGCTTACAGTTAACTTATGGCACTCCAGCTCAGTTAGTTTAAGCATTTCTACTGAACACTTTAGGGATCCCAGCAGAGGTCATACTGCAAACTCCCTGTGTGTAGACATCAAATGAATGTTACAGACATCTTAAAAAATGGCTGAAGACTACACCATCCAAATGGTACCTACATGTGCATCTTTAGCAGATCTTGCTGGTTTTCATGTGCAGTTCTTCCAGGAAATACAAGCTTTCACCCCTAGTTTTATGTTAGCAGGGCAGGCAATTGAATTGTATAGCAATCAAAGCTGTCATTTCCCACGATTCTGCTACAAATCCTACAGTACTTGGTGTTTCTGTGAAGCTCTAGTCCCTGGTGTTAAGCGATGACATGACTATCTACAGAAGCAGAAGAAAGGCAAGATAAATTTTTATACTTTGTGTTGCAGGACAGTGACTCACTTCTTCATCTCCCCTTGCAGGTACGACATCATGAATCTGCAGTACATAGAGCCCAACCGCTACGACTACGTCCTTATTGGGACCTGGCACGAGGGGGTGCTCAACATCGACGACTACAGGATTCAGATGAATAAGAGTGGAATGGTCCGATCAGTATGCAGTGAACCTTGCTTGAAGGGACAGATAAAGGTGTGCCTCAGACTCCTTCTGCTGTAGAAATGTGAATAACCAGTCAGTGTTTTTTTCCCTAAATTGAAGCAAATCTCTTTTAAGCCAAAGGATAGAACTTCCTTGCTTCAGGAAAGGCAAAAGTATAGAAAGACTCCTAGATTAACATTTTACCCTTACAATCCCATATACAGGTCAATGTTTTCTAAAATTGCCCTTTTCAGTGATGCAGAACCCTTTGGTGTGATAGGATTTGAATTTCACCTTATGTGAGAAAGAAGATTGTCACTTAGTCATTGCCTACAACATTCAGGGGCTGTGATTCACTCGGGGGCTGCTTCTGCAAATAACGTGACCCAATATTTGGTTCCAACAATAACACTTGCAAATAAAAAAAGGGAAAAAAAGGATATTTGTCTTATCTGTCTTATATTCATGATAGGAGGTATGGAAACACAAATGAAATCTCTCTGTGGTTACCAAACACTAGCACTTGTATCAAGCTACAAATAATTTGCCACCTGCCATGTCTGGATGGCATAAAGACATGTTCCACCACTATCAAAATGGTATGGATGCAGTAAGTCTAAAATGGCAAAAAGCCCATTCAGGAAAGCCACCTTAGAGCAGACCTTCCTTTCTAATTTCATTTAATAAGCACATTTGCAGTTTTTAATTCTATATTGCTACTCTTAGCGATAAGTGATTGATGAATTGGCAAAGGCATAGCGACATACTCCAGCAATCTTGGAGGGGGAACATTATCGATATTTACCACCCTCCAAAACATCTTTTCCCTGTTTTTGAGGTTGTGCAGCTTGTGTGTGCATATGTATGTAAACACCATGCATACAATATGCCAGCCTTAACTCCCATTGAAGTCTGTTGGACTCTCTCCACAGACTGCAGGAGGAAATGTTAACAAAGAAAGCCCACAAAGCTAGCATTCAATAAAACAAACATTTTGTATTTCACTGTTGCACTTAGCTCTGCGTATAGATGGGTAGGAAGATCCCGGAGAGAAGGCTGGATTCTTCCTTTCTGGCAAACAGAGGCAGAGTCTTTGTTGGAGCCCCTTAAGCTAGGGCTATCCTTAATCTTTCTTTCAGCCTCAATGTGATGAAACTAGGAGTCAAGATGAAGTAACCATCTTCTAGATGTTGGGTAATTAGACTTAGCAGCCTTTGCAGAAGAGAAAGATACCACTTGCAGGGACTTTTGTCTCCAAAAGAGCTGTTGCAAAGCATGCTCTTGGTCACTGCTGGTTTTGGTTGGTTTTATTGTTGGCTTTATTTTCTACTAGGAACCATTACATTCTTTTAGCAGCATATTTTTAAATTTGCTCTTACTTGAATTCCTATTTACACTAGTGTAATAAGCCCCAAAGAGACTTCCATGTAAATTAGAATTTATGTGTTCATGTGTTTGTGTATATATAAAAATACACAAATATGTATGTATATGCATAAATCAGTCTTCGTACTAACCTTTGACTTTGTTTACTGCTTTTTACTATGCAATAAATATTAAATATGGGCTGAGCTACTTGTCCTGACTTGAACCATCTCTCACTTTAAGCCTCTTTTGAAGTGTGATTGAAAATATAGCACTCACTCAAAAGGAAAATTATTTTATACTCTTAACTCAGAACTGCTCCCCCCAAAACAAAATATAATTGTCCCCAGAGATTATCCTTGAATTCCTAGCCACAAATTATAATACTCTGGGGTAGATGCAGAATCGGGATTCGTGTTTTCCAGTTATTCAAAATGTGCCATTCACAGCAATCTTGTTGTATTTTCAACAGTGAGGGTGGTATCTGTTTGCTAAGGGGCAGCTTCTGTGCTGCCTTACAGAAAGTATCATACCTGAGGATGTATTTTGCATTACAGGTGATCAGGAAAGGAGAAGTGAGCTGCTGCTGGATCTGCACTGCTTGCAAGGAGAATGAATTTGTTCAGGATGAATTCACATGTAAAGCGTGTGAGCTTGGCTGGTGGCCAAATGCTGACCTGACAGGTAGGGACATGTCCCTCCAAATGCATTCCTATTTTAAAGGGCACAAGAAGAATGGTGTATGTTGGAGTGTAAGGTGGCAGCATGCGGAGGTATTAAAGGTGCATACTTAAACGCATATCCCAGTGCAGTTCAGGGTGAGTGAAAAGTGCTGTATCTTTTGGCTCAGTTCAACAGCAGTGACAATAAGGACAACAAAATTTCTACCAAGAAGAAATTTTAGTCTGTCAGCTCCTCCCCTGCAGTTAGCATAAGCATTGATAAAGCTGTTAAGACTACTAATGAACTTTGCAGCATTTGCTGCAGTGGTAGCAGTGACTATCACAAGAGCTCACTGCATCCTTGTCAGATTGACTGGGTACTCTTTCTGCTCATTCTGCCATGCAATTAGTTATACTTATCTGCAATGTCAGTCCATTCAGTAATGACCAGACTTGTTTTTCATATAAAGATCATTCTCACTGCACCTGCCAGCAAGAAGAACATCAACAAAATCTAAAACATCTGGCAGAAGAAAGGGAAACAGCAAGAATTCATTTACCTGCATATGTTTTGGATGGGTTGTATGCTGTGACAACTTTCTGTTATTTTGTACCTATCAGGGTCAACGTCCATACCTTCTCCGAGCTTTGCAGTAGACATTACCCCAGAAAAAAAGATTTTATGCACTGCAAAGCACCATCTTGACCTTGTAGTTTGCTCTGTATCTCTGTAAAAGACTACTGGCACCTCTACCCCATGCACCTTCTGCAAATCTTGGCTGCCAGTATCCAGCAGGGTATCATTCCCAATCAGAGAAACTACCTGACTACCTAGCTGAAAATCAAATGTGCAACTTATCACATCTTTATTCTTTAATATGATTGGCTGGCAACTAGATGTTGTCACAGCATTTGACACATAGACGAAGTGGATTGATTAAATAGTTTTGAGAGATACTGTTAAGCTAGTCACTGAAGCCAAGTCAACTTCCAAAGGATTTGAGAGGCAAAGTTGGCCACTTCTCCAGCTAAAAAATATATTATTAATCATAGCAAAGTGGGAAACTTGGCTCATTTTCCATCTTGATTTTCTATGTAAAATAAGCTACGATCATATTTCAGATGAGTGTGTGTCTATGTCCAACACCTCTCATCCCAACCTGCTCCCCCTGCTCCACCATGTGCCACTGAACCTACTTCAAACAGATTTATCAGGATATAGAAATCTCAGTGATCATGCAATTCCTTCTAGTTTCATGTAAGTGGGTTTTAGGAAAAGGAGTTCTTGAAAAATACCTTCTGTAAGGGCCTCAGTTGTGGAAAAACTTCTTGTAGACACCAGAAAATCCACACACCTTTCATAAACATCCTGACTGTTGGAAAAGCTCATATTCAACTCCCACTTCCTAAGATACTAATGTCTGCTAATTTTCAAGCAGATACCCATAGACAACCAGGTTCTGTTAGTCTTGGAGTTTTACAGAATTTCTTGTATCTACTATTGAGAGAAAAAATCTGGAACTTCTTTTTCATTAATGAGGAAGAAAAGAATGTAGTGAGAGATCAATGTGACTTGTGTGAATATGGTTCAGTGTTACCAGCTGCCCAAAATAACTCAAAAGGGGACATGTCAAAATGACAGGCACTGCTGAAAGGAGTTGAGTGCTGGAAAAAATCTCAGGAGCATGTTGCAATCTATTAACTTTTAATGAAATCAGTAGGTGACCTGCTGTTTTGTATTTCTTCTCAGCAAGAAGACCGGACTGCTGCTGTTCTAAAATCACAGTAGCATCAGCCGAGTAACAGCATAGCCGTAGACTGGTTTCCTAGAGAACATCAAAATGGCAATCTGCTCCTGCCCAGCTTTTTCATTCTGTCATACTGAGGAATAAACTTCTTTTTTTAACACCTACAATTTATTTCCTTGAAATAAATACAAGCAAATAAAATTTAAAGTCGTGAAGAGAAACTGATGCTACCCTAACCTTTAGAAAAGGGAGACTGAGCTAGATAAACTCTGGCTCTTGAACTTTGTGGGAGTCAGCGTTGGTACCATATAATTTGGAATTCTCTTTTCTTGCCAGGATTTCTCCCATCAAATGTGTTTTTATAGCTTGCTTTTGTGGGTTGTATTCATACCCTGCTAGTCACCATAGCACCTAGACACAGGCATTAACATCTCACATTTCAGATTGTTTTTTCCTTTGCCTTAAATCTTAAATGCTAAACATGTATGTGGTTTTAATCCCATTTCCATTCCCAGATGGAGCTCTAAAATTCCTAGTTCCTTTAAGAAACATGAAGCACATACTAACCCATTTCCTAAGACACACATTTCAGGGTGCTGATTCTCTCCGTTTGAAATCAGTCTCTGTTGCTCAGCAATCCTTTCCTGACATTTTAATATTATTTTTAAATGTACAAGTTATTTTTTTTTAGATTGCTCCCCCTAAATATGTGTTCAGTGGAATGCAGTCAGCAGGCACACAGGATTTCTTGTCACAAAGGATAAAAACTTGACCTGACAATCAGTCTCTAAAACCAGTATCTTAAGGCCTTGTGCCAAGAAGAGATATCTTTTATAGTATCAGAACCAATATAAGAAGAATGAATGTCAAGCTAGTAAACCCAGTTTACTTAAATCTTCTTAAGTAAGCAATAAACTAAGATAGTACAGGAAGTTTTATGAAATGAGTCATAAAGGTTTGGGGCCATCAGTTACCCAGTATGTGTTAATGACCTCAGATCCTGGATTCTCTTATTGACCTTGCAGTATGAACATAATTTAAAAAAAAAGTATTAAAAAATTGATTAACCTGCTGCTCTTCGAAATGATTAATGGTTAAAGTGCAGGGAAAAGAATAGATGAAAGCTACCAAATAGATTTTTACTAGAAACTTTTAACTGCAAAGTTTTTGCCACTAATTTTCAGATTTTTTTGAGGTTTGGGTTAATTGCTGTGGTCTAGGGGGGGGACTTTCTATGTTTTGGGATTTTTTTAACTCCCAAGTACACCATTTCCCAGGTATTCTCCCACAATCTTAGAAAGGTTCCCTGGCCCACTTCCCCCTATCTGGGAAATGACCGACCTTCACAGGTGCTGACAACAAGAAACTATTTGCTGATACACGCAGTGCAGGCAGCTTTTGGCAATGTTTGTAGCATATATGGCTCTTGGGGCTTGCTATTGTACAGGAATTACATTGATCTAAGGAAACAGATTTCTAAGACCTTGCACAGGATAAGCTTAAAGCAGTCGATGGGCTTAAGTACCATACTGAATCAGGGCTAAAGCTCTGAAAATATTGTTTAAGATATAATTATGAAAGTATGCTTTGATGTTGCTAAGCTTAAAGTCCACATTGAAACTTGACCCTTCCAGCAACTATAGACCAGCTTCTTCTTTAAGAAGAGCTTTGCATGTGTTAGTCAATGAGCAGGAGCTTCTGAGTCTTAGTCTTCTGTTAAATCAAATAAGGAGCCACTTCCACTTAGGGCTGCTGCAGCCAATGGCCAGAGGTTCCTACTTCTAATAAAATCTTTTCCTTCATATTTTATCATAAAGGTGCTAGTAGGAAGAATGGGTTTCCTCACCTCTCTGAGTCTTGAGCAGACCACTTTGAGCAAAACAGAATTCCTTTTCTTTATAAAATAACACCTTCCATTGCACATACTATGATTTCTATTATTTTTTATATTACAAGTACCTATAACATGATTACCTGTATTTAAGTAGACAGCATTACCTGTAGTTAAGTCAGCCTGGTACTCACAGACACAAAAAGCACAGATTACGAGGCATTGTTTCAGTTCATATGACATTGACAGACATTAAAAGTTCAAGCAGAGATTTTCCGTATCAAGACTTTGCCTCAGGCTGATCTTTTTCTTAATTTCAACAAAACCCTTTTTTTTTCCTCTTCTACTTCTCAAAATGAGGTTACAGTAAAACTGTTCAGTCTTGATCCATACTTCTTCTTACTTCCATATTTGGAAGGGAAGACTTAACATTTTATTGAGAATACCACTTGGTAATTTTATGTCACCCTGTGCAAGATGCATGCAAATTGAGCAAAACCATGGGCCTTTTAGTTCACAGAGGCTGATTTCTGCAGATATGCTCCACACTGAGTAGGAAGGGGCTGCGCATCAGTTTTGCTCATCTCGGTATCAGACCTCTTGCTAAGAATTAGCAGTGAAATTAAGAGGAAAAAACCACCTCTCTTACAAGTTTGCTGACACCACTGCCTTTTTCCTGCTCTTCTCATCCATGTCCAGCAACCCAAACAAGCAGAGGTGAGGAGCAGGGTGGTCCAGAATGTGAAAAGCTGGACCAACAGTATTCTCAACAGAGACATCTGGGTGGAGAGGTAACTGGATAAAACTGAACTAGAAGGGGAATTGAGATGGTGATGGTGAGGGACTGGGAGGAAGGATACTTATTTGAGAGGTGGGAGAAAGGCACAAGAGGTGAGCTGGGTCCAAGGGCAACTGGAGGAGGACAGAAACAAGAAGTAGGAGAGGCCATGGATATTTACCTTGGGATATAGAAACATGTTAAAAGCATTTTGGGACTATTTAGTCAAGAACGGAAATTAGAGAATGCCAGAATGAAGAGTTTCAGTAATTCAGCTTCATAATCATAACATTCTATTAACACAGAGGATTTTATTTGCTTGTAATGTTTATTGCTAGTATTAAATCTTTGGCACAGTGAAGAAGGTAGTCAGAGACCTCTTTAACCTGAACATGGAAGAGAGCACTTAAGCATCATGATACCTACTGTTGAGTATCTGTGCTAGTCATAAAGGAGAGCCTTTCTAGTTATTTTTGAAGGCATGTATATTTTGTGGGTTTGGCTTTTCCATTAGAATCACATCACATTTTTTAGTGGAAAAATAATGAGGAGAGAGTATGACAAAACGAGGATAAGGTAATGTTAAAAGAATAAGTCAGAAATATAGTAAGAAGGTACAGTATCTATGGAGTAGTTCCATTATGGCTTTGGATTTATTACCATTTTTCTGTCTGTAGATCTCAAATTAATTTCTATTACTTACAAAATCACCCTTACAAAAATGGAGTGGGTCATATTACAGTAATTTTGATAAAGATTTAGAAATGATAGTCTGAGGAGGTCTAGAATGTACCCATTATGATTTGTAACAATTCTTTCCCTGCTGAAATTAAGGGATGGTGCTGAGTTTGCCCGCCTTCTGCTCCCAGCTCTGCCTTCGATGTGCTGGGCTTGTCAGCAGGTATCTCAAGAAAAAATTTAAAAAAAAATTTCCAAATCTCATTTCCCTTTGTAGCATCATGAGAAAATGTTTGGGACATCCAAAATTGATGGCTGTGTCTCGACCACATTTCATCCAGACTTTTCCATACTGCAGTTCACTCCTTTACAAAATGGTTTTAATAATCCATGACACATAGGCATAGGCTAATGTTTGGTTTGTATTTGGAGCCAGAAGAAAAAGTTCTTTGAGTAGCTACCTTTCTAACATTCTGTTTCTTTTCTGTGCACTACAGGCTGTGAACCCATCCCTGTAAAGTACCTACAGTGGAGCAATATAGAGTCTATTGTGGCTGTGGTCTTTTCCTGCCTGGGGATCCTGGTCACCATGTTTGTCACCCTTATCTTTGTGCTCTACAGGGACACCCCTGTTGTCAAATCCTCCAGCCGAGAGCTCTGCTACATTATCCTTGCTGGCATCTTTCTGGGTTATGTCTGCCCTTTCACCCTTATAGCTAAACCCACCACGACATCCTGCTACCTCCAGCGCCTTCTGGTGGGTCTCTCCTCTGCCATGTGCTATTCCGCCCTTGTGACCAAAACTAACCGCATTGCACGCATCCTGGCAGGCAGCAAAAAGAAGATCTGTACCCGCAAGCCACGTTTCATGAGCGCATGGGCACAAGTGGTCATTGCCTCCATTTTGATCAGCGTGCAGCTGACACTAGTGATCACGCTGATCATCCTGGAGCCACCAATGCCCATCCTTTCCTACCCCAGCATCAAGGAGGTTTACCTTATCTGCAACACCAGCAACCTAGGTGTCGTGGCTCCTGTGGGCTACAATGGACTCCTCATCATGAGCTGCACGTACTATGCCTTCAAGACTCGCAACGTGCCTGCCAATTTCAACGAGGCCAAGTACATTGCATTCACCATGTACACCACTTGTATCATCTGGCTGGCCTTTGTGCCTATCTATTTCGGGAGCAACTACAAGATCATCACCACCTGTTTTGCCGTGAGCCTGAGCGTGACAGTGGCACTGGGGTGCATGTTCACTCCTAAGATGTACATCATCATAGCCAAGCCTGAGAGGAATGTCCGCAGTGCCTTCACCACCTCAGATGTGGTGCGTATGCATGTCGGGGATGGCAAGGCACCTTGCAAGTCCAACACTTTCCTCAACATTTTCCGGAGAAAGAAGCCAGGGGCTGGAAATCCAAAGTAAGTGAGTGACTGCAGGTATACGTCTATCTGTATATGTCCCTCTCTTTGCCATCCTCTCTTGGTTGACTGTAGTCTGCTGAATAGTAAGGTATGTAACTGTTTTTATTTTGCGTAGCAGAAAAGGTGGAAATGATCCTTTAGATCTAAGCCTTTGATGAATATTAACATATTTCTTCTTACTTTCCCTCCTGCTCTAAAGGCAGCCCTGTACACAACTCCCTCTGCCTCTGGGGCAAGGCAGGCAGTGGCAGAGTAACCAAGCTCCATTGGTAGCTTCTCCCATCTCTCTGTGCATGTGAAGGGGATCTCAAACCTCTATGTGCAGTTGCTCCGCATCGTGTTCAAACTGAGATGCTGTTGTAGCCTTTTGGGAAAAGGGGCCAGAAATCTATGTCTGAGTGGTTGTAAATCACATGTACTTGTCTAAGGCCACTGGGATGTGTGTGTGAAAGCTGGGGATTGAACATTAGTTTTCTGGACAGTGTTTTGTGACAGTCCTCATGATTGTGATCCAAAAACACCCTTCATACTATCTCTATGCTCTATTTAATAATCTGAGTTATGAGCAGTGAACTTAAGTATCATCAGTGTAAACTTGTCCATGTTCTCAAACCCAGTGTTGGTGTGAAAGTTGCAGAAGTAGACTGATGGTGAAAATGAACTTGCATCCACATCTATTGTACCTGCTGTTTTCCTCACTAATAATTAAAAGTGACCCAGCTGCAGCAGACAGGGGGAGAGGACTGTTACTTCAAACAGCATCTCCCTGTGAGCAGCTGTCTGAACATTTGCATTCTTTCTTATCTTGTTGCTTTCTAATCTTTAAAGAAGTACCGTAGGGTTAGACATGAACTTAGATTATTTTTGCCCCAATAAAAAAAGCAATCAAATTAAAATTCAGTTAATATCCAGCTCTTTGGGATCTGTAGGCTTCTCGGAGTCACTTAAGTTGGTTTCAGTTCAGTTTGCATAAAAACTGTTTTCATAAGTCCTGGAGATGTTAGGAATAAGGATGGAAGTAATACTGTAGAAAACTCATGCTGTGATCAATTTTGCCTTTATTCTACTTCAGTACTTTTCATTTTGTTGCCAGACAGGAGTTCAGAAGAGAAGCAAATGGAGTCATAAGTAACCAAATACACAGCTCAGTGTGCCACAGAGGCCACGATAGAACTGCCAGCTCCTGAGCTAGACAGAGAGGGAGCTGGGAGTGACAGGTAGTACTGGGACTCTCCCGTGCAAGGAGGCAGCCAAAAATCTCTATAGCTCAAGTGCTTGAATTCCATGCAAATAGAAAGGTGGAGCCTGATCCACCTTCCTCTGACTCTATGGAAGTTGAATGGAGTCTTACATACTGTCAGAAACTAGCGCGGTGTCTCTGCAGTGTAGCCTCTGGCTAATGCTGTGGGTACCTTTAAGATAGAGCAAAAAATGGACCTTTGAATACTTTAGATCATGAGAAACTTAGCAACTAATTCTTTGTTGTTCTTACTATGTTTGTACTTTCACCAAAAAAAATGTACCTTAAAAGATGCAAATGTAGCATATTTAGAATATGGATCATAATATGAGAATTTCATTCTGCTCAAAAAACAAGCTGCCCTCTCAGCATTGTCACCTTAAAAAATCCCACAGGGCTTACCTGAGCTTTTTAGAAATTTTCCCAAATGAAAAGCTCAACACTTAGTTAATATCAATAAATATCAATTAACACCTAGTTAATATCAATAACACCTAGTCTCATATCAAGCCTTCAGATCTTTCATACAGCAACATCCCAACCTCTGACCTAAACTCTGTGTGCAGTTATTGTTATGTTCTTCACCTACACCAGCACAGATGAAGAGGCACGGCAGGCTTGCTGATGGAGAAGGATAGCATACCTCTCTGTACACAAGCATGAAGTACTGAGGCAGTATACAAACATGCAGCTTTGGAAGTAAAGTCACAAGACAGCACAGAAAGTTTTTTACAGAGTTTTGGAGGATATTTTAGCTCCTAGTAGAGTCCATTGCAAAGCTTGTGAGGACTTTGCGCTGACACAGATAAAGAGGTGTGAATCACTGAGGAAAGCAAGAAGGAAAACATAGAATTTGCTGGGCTTCTGAAGCACCTTGTTAATTCAAATATGTGGTCAGGTTGTCCCTGAAGCAGAATTCGGAGCCTTCAGACTGTTTTAGATGTTTGGGTTTTTTTAATTTCCTATCAGAATCTGAGATCTATTTGCAGGTTTTCAGTAACTCAGATTGCTCTGCTTCTGATTCTGTAATTGTCCGTCCCTATAGACATATTTTTTCTGTCTGTAAGTGGACAGCAGTGACTACTTTTACATCCCATGGAGGGATGAAGGCATTGGGAAAGTGTGAAGGAACTTTGCCCCTACAGGCATTAGTTAAGGCACTCACTTAGGTTAATATCACCTCCTTCACTTCCCAGGTGAATGCCCTATAGCCAGACTATGCACTGTTCCAGGGCAAGTCTCCTCCTTTCTCTCTGTTCCTGACCAGCAACGTGTCCTGGAAGAGAGAGAAAAATCCCCATGCAAACCCTAGAGAAATATTTTGTATTATTTAGTGAGAAAGCTTGAATCTGGGTCTGAGAGATCCCTTGTGAGCGTCTTCAGTACTGATCTTCTGTCAGTCTCTCCCTCTTGCCAAAAGAATATTTAAATATGTATAAAAAATGGAACCGAAGATGGAGAGTAAGTGATATCTGCTGGTTTTTACTGGAGCTTTATGGGGACATTTACTGTTAGAATTTGCTGCTGGGTGACATTATGAGATCCTAGTTGTTACAGGATGATAACATAGCAGCGATTTTTTAGGAGAGCCTTTTTAATCTTTTGTTTTCTCTCTTTTTTTTTTCTTTTTTTTTCTTTCCCCCAGCTGTGAGATTGTAACTTTCGTATATGGATCTTGATGTGATTGTTAGCCTCATTCTTGACCACAAATGTTACTTTGGTCTATGAGGGTCAATCGGCTTGAAGAGTAGCACTCCTGTACAAGTGCCTGTACAATTACTTCCCTGAGGAAACAATGCTCCTTTCTGTATTATGTGCAGAAAAAATAACCAGTGACATTGTAGATGCTGATCTCGAGGAGGGTTCAAGAAACACTTTCTCCAGCTACTGCTTCAAATGGATGCTACTCAATGTGCAGGAGGCTGAAGCCAGGCCTGCATCCTACAGGTCCTGTTGTGCTATTTTTCTGTAGTCCACATACACACTTCAAATAGAGCTTGAGCCACAAAACAAGGCTCACCTCTTCTTCCATGCTTCTTGTGGGCTGCAGTAGTGTGAGAATCGTGTTGCATAGAGGACCACAGGGGACAGGACTGTTGTGCATCTTTGGGTAAATAGCTCCAAGATTGGCAGTGATGCTTAGTTGCTGTCTTCACATATAAACAATCTTAAAATTATGGTTGAGATCCCAGGTCTGGACATCACTTTAATGTGTTTTGAATCAGAGGAGGCAAAGATTTAGTGGTCAACATAAGTTGTGCAGCAAAATCAGAGTTGATAGGAAGGCCAGCAAGAAACTGAGGGGCCAGGGCTCCACATTGATGCATAAGCCACCTGCTTCTCCCCTTGTATTTTTAATATATGTGCATTCATTTATTTTTCCTCCAGCTGTATGCCCTCAGAGATGAATGGCTTCTTTTAAATATTTCCAGACATGTACTTTTTACTTATCTTTTTAATACATTTTGGCAGTCTATGCCTCTAGGTTGCTCTTACAGGCATCCAGTCTAAGCAGTGTCCAGGCAGTCACCCAGGCCAAGGATCTCTCAAAATGTCTTTGTTTTGTTCCAATGAAAGCATGTGGGGCAACCCAACATCCCCTAGTACCTTTTCCCTGTTTCCTTTAGGGGAATGTATTCCTGTACTTCGTACTCTCTCCCTATATACAGGTTCCCTATATACAGTTTTTTAACTGGAAATCAGGTTTCTTAGTTACTCTAGTAACACGTCTCTTCCCCTCCCAAGAATTAGGGAACCATCTGCTTTTTTGTCTTGTCAGTTATAAAATTATCTCCAGGTATTCTTAAGTTACTCCTTCTCTTCAAACTGACTTGCTGAGTTGCCATTTCATCGTGAGCAAGCTGTGCTGACATGCCGTGTTTTTCTAGGACTCATTTCACTTGGCGACTCACACTCCACGAAGTCTTTTGGGCTCCTCAGGTCCCTCATTATCAAAGCCTCCCACAGACACACAGTGAGGGGAATCTTAGCATAAGCACGTCCAGAAGGCAGGACATTTTGTTTCACTGTTTTCTCGTGGTGGTGGGAGGAGGCAAATGCACAGTGCAGCATGGCGAGAGTCGGAGCTTCCAGAAACAGAACGTAAATGTTCAGCATGTTCAGCTGCAGTCATACAAATGCAGATCTTTTACAGCTTCTCACTTGATCCAACCTGAGTGCCTTGTCAGAGGAAGAGATGATCAGGAGTATTGCCTCTTCTCGCTCCCACGTTACTACTCCATGCAGTCAATCTGCTACCTTTAAGCAGGGGGTTATGGATGCACAGAGGGAGTGGAGAGAAGGGTGAACAGAAGACATGAAAACACTTCTAATGTTACTAAAACAATGGCTTATATCCTGACATCTGTGGACTAAAATTTATGAAATAGAACAAAAAGAGAGAATATATGGTTCAATTCCCGCACCTCAGGACATGAGCTCAATATGAGAAGTCTACAATATGTTTAAGTATTTTCTTTGGTCCTAAATTGTGTCACATAGCCTGCAGCATGTGAGAATTGTGTTTAAGTGCTTGTTGTACAGATTACTCTCTAGTGTAGTTTTATCTTCTTACAGCATTGCCAAACCAGTATGGAGACAATTGCTGAATCTAACAGGAAATGGTAGGCTAGCTTGCTTTGCAATTTAGAAAACTGATGTAATGCGTGAACTTCTCATGCCCTATAGGAGCATTGCATACACAATAAGACAGCCTTTTACTTTTACAGATCCTGGAAAATACCAAATTCCAAGTCAC